GATCCATTTCCAACTCTAACCCCTCTTCGTAACCTAATCTACACTCGAACCCTAACCGTCACCACCACCGAAAACTCCTATTTCGCCGACGGATTTTCCGATCCGAAACTTTCTAACGTAAATCCGGCGGAGGAGATGGAGAATCGACGGCGGAGGAAGAAGGAAGAGTTGGTTAATTCGAAAATCGCGGTTTGTTTGGTTGGAGGAGCGAGACGGTTCGAGTTAACCGGACCGTCGATTATAGAGAAGATTTTAAAGGTTTATCCTAATGCGGATTTGTTTCTTAATAGTCCTCTTGATCAAAATTCGTTCAAGCTTCGGTTGCTTAAAGACGCACCAAGGCTCGCTTCGGTTCGTATCTTTGAGCCTAAACCGATCGTCGAGGCTGAGCCGATGATTCGAGTCCTTACACCAATGCATTCGCCAAATGGCATTAAGGTAAATTCTTAACTCTTTGGTCAAGAATTATCTTCCTTAGTTTTTTGTTGGTCAAGAATTAACTTCTTTACCTTTTTTTCACTAACTTTTTATTAATTAAATGCGATTACGTTAAATTTTACGCACATGAAATTCGGAAAATTAAAATAAAGAAAAGTGGTGAAGAGGATCCGTTTAGTTGGAGAGGGTTAGGGTTGGTGTAACCGTTTCTTGATCCGTACGTTACTCGTGTGAAGGAATTATTCTTTTGAATGATGGGGTTTGGTTTGGTTTGGTTTAGGTATTTGGTGTTCTCACAATCTCACCGAATACTATTTTTTTTTTGTGTGTGTTTGTTATAACAAAATAGCTTTTTATAGATGGCATTTCAAATGTTAATGGATGACAATATGATATGGGTGGAGTGTTTATTAGTTATTGACTATATTTGTTGATAAGAAACAAAGTTATATGGGTTAATTGCCTCTTTCTCGAATTGGGTTCTATGAGATTAGGATTATGGTTTCTTGGTAATTGTCATTGTCTTGCTAACTCGGAAAGGTTTTTATTCCTTACTAATCCGAGACTGAAAATTGACTTCTTACCTTTTCGGGACCCACTTTTCTTCATAAAGAAGATCTTGATTAATTTGACAGCTTGTAATTTACATGTATTTGTTTGGAGAAAAAAAGGTATTCTACTTTTTTGGGTAATTTTTAATTTATGGTAATAATTGTTTATGATAATGGTTAATGGGGGGCATGATGGTGATAATGTGTGGCGTGATGATGTTACTGCGGAGGCTTTTTATTGTATTTTTGTTCTGACTCTATGTATTTCAAGTGTATATACTTAAACTTAGTTACATATAATTTGTTCACTTTAGCGTATCCTTATATTGAACTTCTTGTCCTTACATCATTTGTCCTATTTACAAAAGCAATGGTGATGAATCGTATATCATTTCTTCATGTTTATTTGATTCTGTTATGTTTTACCTGCACTTATTACATTTATCAAGTTTTCACATTTTTAAAAGTATCATACAAAGAAACATGAAAAATAGTTGATCTATACAGTAGTCATCACAAATGTTTATTTGTTGTGAACATAGTTTCTCATGTGCTTTTCTTATTGGTGTCAATGACAGGGCTTATTACAGTACTTCAACCTCGTGGAAGGTTGCATTACGATGATAAAGGCACACCAAAAAGAGAATAACTTCACATATGACTGGATAGTCCGGACCCGTGTTGACGGTTATTGGGCTGACCCGCTCGACCCGGAATACTTTATACCGGGTCAGTACCTAGTCCCACCTGGATCTTCCTACGGTGGTCTCAACGACCGTTTCGGCGTCGGCGATCTCAACACCTCAACGGTGGCTCTCTCTCGTCTCTCCCTCATCCCGGACCTCGACTTAGCCGGTTTAACCCGTCTCAACTCCGAGTCAGCCTTCAAGGCTCAGCTCTCGACTCACCGTGTCCCTTACGTCACTAAATCCCTCCCTTTTTGTATCATGACCGATAGGACCTACGATTTCCCTCCGGGTGACTACGGAGTTCCCGTGACGGCCATTTCGAGCCGCGGACCGTTGAACGGTGCTAAATGCCGTCCTTGCACGGTCGCGTGCCGCGGCTCGTGCGTGGCGGAAGTGATGGGAAAGCTAAACCGGGAATGGAGCTGGACGGAGTGGGAGAACGAGACGGTGGAGCTTTGCGACGCAAGTGGAGACTGGGAGAAAGGGTGGGAGAAGATTTTTGACGGTGTCGCCGGAGAAAAACTCGCACGTGCAAGGAAACGAGTCGGAGGTTTGGATTCGAGGAGATGTGTGGAAGAGTTTGATGAGATGAGAGGAAAGACCGTTAAATGGGAAGCTCCCGCCTCCGAACAGATTTGTATGTTGGGCTTAACGCCCAATTAGAAACAGATTGGAATTTAGGCCCAATTTAATTCGCTAACAAATTTTCCCCATTTCTTTAGTGTTTTTTTTTTTTTGGTTGGTTCCAAAAAATATTTCAGGTTACATATATAAGAACAATTGAAATTTTATTCAGGGCACATTGATATTTGAGCTGCTCAAGATCTTCGTTTCTGTATTCAGTGAGAAAAAGAACCAAACTATATCAAGATCTAATGCCACATGGAAGAACCACCAAATCTATTCGGAAATCGAGCTTGTTACAGGATTCGATGTTTTAACTCTGATTTAGACAGCTTTTACGCATCATTACATGTACACACAACTCTCTAACGAATAAATGGTTTTCATTACTTGAAAATTTTCCTATGTGTTTGTAAGACGGACCTAACCAAAAAGATATAGGCATATTGCCCACGTGTCCTTGCATTTGGCAGATGGGTTGGAATCTCGGCACATCACGCGAGAAAAGATGCGTATATATAATATAGGCCGTCTATTACAAGCATGCATTATGTTTTTTTTTTCTTTTTCCAATTAGCCAATTTCATGGAAAGGAGGTTCCGAAGTTTATTAGAGCATCCACATTAAAGACATTTTGTAGGTGTCTTTAAATATAAAATTATTAAAAGTTGAGTAAAAAGAAAAAAGAGAGTGTTTTTGATTGAAATAATGGAGTGTATTGAAATATAAAATTAATAAAATTTGAGTAAAAAGATGAGATAGTGGATATTTTTTTAGAGAGAATGTCTCGTGGAAGACAAAGTTGGAGAGAGAATGGATGAAAATTGGAGTGTGTTTAAATATAAAATTAATAAAAGTTGAGTAAAAAAATGAAAGAGAAAGTATAAAATTGAGTAAAAGGAAGAGAGAATGTGTTTTTAATATTTTTTTATTTAGAGACATCCACATTTTGTGTGCAATGTGGATGGCCTTATAGTGTTTCAAAAANAAAAAAAAAAAGTTTATTATACCATATAATAATAATAAACTACACATCTCATCTATATTATAATTGAACTTTTTGTTGTTCTAAAAGATAAATTTGGTTTTGATTTACCGAAAGGAAAACATTTGAGCCACTATGTTTCAACGAACAAATTAAGATGATTTTCATTTCAACAGCTCGACAAGCATACACAATATCTCAAAAAATAAACTGAAAGACATGTATCTAATTTTCGTTGTAATGTGGTTTTTGCCGTTGCCGTGCGAATGTATAATATTGAATCAAACAGAACCCCTTCAAGAAAACAAAGTTTATCTGAAAAACAATTCTATTAATTCAATACATAAAAACTAAAAATGCTAAACCGTGAATACACATGTAACACATCACATACATCATCAATTAGAAACGATGGAGCGTCTATAAATATTTTTATAGCAAATATAAATTGTCGATCAAACTCTCAGCATCCAGTTTGTCAAGTATATTGAGATCGAAATGGTATAGATTCTCCACATAATGACATATCATGACTCATAACCATCAATCTTAATTTCACCACTAAAATTTCAACATATTTAAATTGGATAAATCATATGTATATACTAAAATCCATCAATCTAAAACACTTGAATCGAGAAATATCTCTAAAATCCTATCACAGAGTCTGTATGGTTCCTCACGTTTTATTTCAAGCGAGTTGCAATGAAATCCAGAAATCAAGCTAAAGTCACATGCTTAAGAAAATCTAATTCTGTTAACGTTAAGTAAGGGTCCTCTCTTGATGTTTGTGGATCTACGCCGAATCACTCGTTTTCAAAGTCCACACGCTTGCACTACCTAATTATCTAATGCTTAGTTTAAGTAAAATCTCGATTTAAGGGCTAGTTTAGATTATAGAATTATTATTATTATGTTTTCGTAATCGTGGTAAGACAAAGGTGAAGTGTCGTGAACAAGAAAACCGTGATTTTTGATCCTTTGGTGCATAGTTGGAGCTCTCTTCTCTGACACGTACCAGCTCACTCCTCGTGCTTTGTTAATTACTAGACACATAATCTTTAGTTTAACAGTTTATTCAATAGAAAAAAACTATTGATTGGTTTTAAAAGACCAGAAGTTAACATTATATACTGACTATATCATATATGTACATTGTAAGCTTAATTTTGAACAAAAAGCATCAACGTATCTTCTTATTCGTTGTTTTTTTTCGAGGACCCATATTATTCTTTAATTATATGAAAATTTTAATTTCTCCTACGTTTAATTGATAGAAAAAGATGGAGTTGAACGAACTACTTCGCCGAATGTATAAAATAAATTTGATTAAACAATTCAGTTAATGTTGATGATCATCCGTAACCATGTGAGAAAAAAAAACTGTCTTAACGCGTATTAACCACTACCAAATTATATAGTCTATGAAAGACTCAAGTATGTTTTTTTCTTGGGTCAAAAGACTCAAGTATGTTATGTATATATATGTGTGATAAATAATTCGATAGCGAGTGCGAATCACTCAAATTTTATTAGGAATTGAGAAGAGTTTTCGATTGGAGGTCTAGCTAGGGTGGCCAAACCACGTGTGTTCCCTCTCCGCTTGAAATGGAACATATGTTATGTCTCTTAACTCATTAAATCTGATTAATTTTTTTCATTATTCACCTTTAATTATTTTCTATGCTGCTACTAGATAACTATACACAAACGATCGAACTTAGGCCAGATCTCTTTCAAGCGTACTAGCTAGTTCTATCCTATCTGTTCAAAAAGGCTATTACGATTCGAATCTATGGTTGTTTTATTTTTAATCTAGAAAGTTCGGACCAAGACTTAGTTTATAAATTATATGGGCCAATACATAGGTTAGTGGTCCCCGATGATGTGGTGCTCGAATTCGAAACTTCCAACATCTTCTCATTTGGGTAGAACCTGTTATACTAGCGATGCTATGTGAATTTATGGTTTTTAGTGGCGAAACATTGACTTTAAATGGCTATGTACTTCATATAAGCGTTGAGGAAAATTTTAAAAGATTTTTTGTTTTATAAACCGTAGATGTTATTAAATTTTGGTCTATAATCTTTTCCAGTCTGGAAACCAGTCACCGTTAGTAACATTATTTTAAAGCGTACACACTCATAACTCATTCCAAATAGACTTGAACTAGTTATATTGAACACGACCACCTTACCAAGCCTCTTATCAAGCTCAAGAAACACTGGACTAGTCTTATAAGACCCACATGTTCAAACGAAAGTTAAAAGTTAGTCATCGGATGTTCATGTAATTAATTTTCTGGAAATTAACACGTCTATTACTATCACTAAATAGTAAACATAATAATATTTAAAATTTAATTTGGTGCAGTTGAATAATAAAAAGAATAGTTTCTTCTAGACTTCTAGTGTGTATATTTTTTTTTGCTAACAATGTGAATATCATTATAAAATGAAGTTAGATTTTACAAAAAAAGCATAATCTAGAAGTGTATATAACAAAGCAATTAACCGAACTATAAAAAAATATAGTTGGGAAATAATTACAAAGCAATTATTCTCAAATACATAGCGAACTCTCCCACGTGCACGTCATTTCATACTTCATTACACAAACCCCACACACCCACACGGTGTAATATATAAACCCTCCTTCTTCCTCTCCCACCATTTCAATCACTCTCTCTCTCTCCTCCTCCCAAAAATGGTTGGAGTTTTCCGGCGATCTATCTCTTTCCCGAACAAACCATCACCGTCGAAGTCGCCACGTGTCTCTCACCACACAAGATCCATCAGTCTCCCATGCAGATCACATCCTCTAATCTCCCACATTAACCACGAGATCTCCACCCTCAAATCATGGTCCTCCTTCGCCGGAGAAACTCCCCGCCGCTCCACCGCATGGATCACCGACGGTCTCAGCCTCCTCAAAGACGTACACGAAACCCTAGCCGATATACTCCACCTCCCACAATCCCAAGAATCTCTACGTAACCGTCCCGTTTTCTTCGAGAACCTTCTTGAAGACCTTCTAAGATTCGTCGACGCTTACGGAATATTCCGTACGTCGATACTCTGCCTCCGTGAACATCAATCCGCCGCTCAAGTCGCTCTCCGAAAAAAAGACGACGTGAAAATTTCTTCTTACGTAAAATCTCGCCGGTCTCTCGCTAAAGACATCGCGAAGCTTACGTCATCGATCCGTGAACCGAATACGAAACACCAGCACTGCCACGTGGACGATGTTAACGGAACTTACGGTGACGCTGAGCTGGCGTCGGTTATCGGTGACGTCATCGGAGTCACCGTCTCCGTTTCCGTTGCTCTTTTTAACGGCGTGTATTTCTCTCTACGTTCGACTAAAACGACGAAGTTTGTTGGATTTTTGAAGAGGTCAGAGAGAAAGGAGAAGGTCGAAGGTATTGTGGAGATGAAGGAAGTTGAGGAGAAGAGTTTTATTG